GAGTGATATTTCTGAAGGGATATCCAGTCTATTTTAAGGAAAATCATTTATTCTTCTGAAAGTAACATTGTATAAAGAAAAATTGTATTTTGTATAAAAAATTGTATAAAAAAATAAACATTATTTTTTTGCTTCTTACACAGTACACTCAATTGCCCAGTTTTAATGTTTATCCAAGGTGGATATAGTAATAGCAAAGTCTGTTACGTAGTACATCATACACTTGTTACAGTTCATCTTAATAATAAGCTGATTTTTAGTCTACATACTTCCTAACTGTAAACTGGATAGAGATTTCTTTAGTGCATTTTTCTGTTAATTCTGTAGCATCTCCAATATGCGTGTGTGTGAAAGAGCAGCTAAAGGACATTCAGAGCCCCGGATATTTAGAAACTCTTATGCCTAGTTTTCTCATGCATGTACTGCTTTTGCTAGTTTTATTGCACAGGCTTCTATTAGAGAGAGATTCCTTCTCTGCTGGTTTGGAGTACTTTCTTCTTGTTTCAGCAGCTTTGAAAATTGCCACCCTCCTTCACAGAACAGTTGGTTAACTTAAAGACCACATTATCTCCCTGGCCTTCCACTGCCTCATTCCATGCTTGGTACCCACTATTGGATGACCTCTTCTTATGGAAACTATTTTGAATCTTTTAGTCATTTTCATTGCTTGCCTCTGTTTCTTCCTAAGTTTATTCTTATTTCTCTTTCTTTGGGGGCTGGATAGTGTTGCATTAAGTGGAGTGAGAGGATCCCTCAGTTCATTTTACACTTTATGGAAGCAGCACTTCTTGCTGACCTATAAGCAGCTATTCTCCATCTTGCATCTGGGTAATTAATTCTGCCTCTTATAGTATTAGACTCAGTCCTTACACCTGTAAAATTTAATCTAATGGGATTTATTTCCAACTTTTCCTCCAACTTGTTATGTTCATTTTAAATTATGAAGTTCTACTGCATAAATTAGTTGCCCAGCCATGCATTCCAACTTGCATCCCGTGTCAGAACTCTGCTATCAGAGTTATTAGTTAATCGGTTAATCATCACTGCCCAGTGGTTCAAAATGCCCCTCTCATGACAGATGTAGCGTCCTAGTGCCTCATCAGCTGTCCTCTGATGCAGCAGTAATGGAGTTTAAATCATATTTTCATTCATGTTTGCTAACTTTGGGAACCTTCAACACCACAGATTGTTGAATTCCGGAGTTCCGTATAGAAGACACAGAAGCCATGAATATGAACTACTTTCTAGATTTGGTACAGCAGTAGATTTTGGTCATCAGAAAGAATCCTTCACCAGGGTAGACTCACTGCCAGACAAATATTTTCAACCTCAGTCCAGAGCTGAAAGCACTAATGAATTCTAGTAGCAAGGCGGCACACACTCCAGCGGGGTTCTAATTGACAAAGAGATGGAGAACCAAAACAAGAGGCCAGCGTCTCCTTTGGGGAGCTGGCATACAGCACAGGCCCAGCAGTGCTTCAGGCTTCAGGCCAAATGAAAAGTGTGCCCAGCAGTGTTACTGCTATCGGAGCTAAAAGCAGGTGTCCTTAGCTGGGCTGTCAGGAGCCTGCAAACCCCCTGCCACAGTCAGCACAATTATATATGTGTGTGTTTTTCAGCAAGCAAGATTCTCAGCTCTCATCCGATTTTCAAAGGGATCCATGAATCATAGAGGGCTAAGAAGCTCTGTTTGCTAGATGGACAGTAATCCAGACTTCCAAAACCGATAAAATAGATTGTTGGGAATTGATACAACAAAAAGATTCAAAGGAAACAGAATTAACATTTATTGAATGCTAATTGTGTGCCAGAGACTCTTGGAGACATCACCTGATCTTCACAATAACTCTTTAAGGTAGACAAAGGAGGTGTTTGAACCCAGGTCTTGCTCTAAAGCCATATACTTCCTTCTACTCTGCCTCTCGAAAGAATGAAAATGACTGACATTGAAGATTAATCAAAACTAAAGATAAGCAAGCTAAAACAATGGGGAAATATAATTTGATATTCAAAAATGTAGTTTATGTATTTTTTTAAATTAAGAGCTTATCTATTGAATAAAGTTGAATGATGTAGACCAAGTATGTGGGATGGCACAGGGTGCAACTTCAAGAAGCAGTTCTTGAGCAAAAGCTTTTAAGAAACTGAAGAAGATGTAAACGGAACAGTCATGAGGACCCACTTCACTGTTGGGTCTCTCGTGGAATGAGATCATGTGTTATGAACCAAAAGATGTGGTTGAATTAATTTAATTTCTCTTTTGCATTTCTGTACTAATTAATGACAGTCATTTCACTTGTACGTAGTATATTAAATTAGATAAGTTCTACTATATTACACTCTATCTCTGTGCTTAAGTATTAATTATTGTCTTACAAGCCTTCTTAGCCGAGTTTAGGAAATACTCCCACCATGTAGCTGAGTGCGTAACGAACTCCCCAAAACTGCTTTCTTTATAACTGTAAATGCTGAAATCCATAATGGTCATTGCTTTATGGAAAATATTATTTGAGAATATTCAGTGAACATTTAACAATGCTCACAGATTTCTGTGCTATTTCCATATCCATTTTTTTGCCAGTATATCTTGCCTAAAACAGTGTGATCATCTATTTGGAGTACTCTGTGTGGGGAGGCTGAGCAGGATTAATTCCTGTCCTGGTGTTGCAGTGTAAACAGCTTTTTGCCTGTCTTTTGTCATTAATGATCATGCTGTAGATGTAGCCAGTGCATTGTAAGCCAATCTGTCAAGGCAAATAAACAATTCACCTTGTTAAAATTCCCTAAATCTTGCATTAATAAAACCAAAGTAACCCCCTGAACACTCAAGAGATGTCTTCCTCCATACTGCAGTGATGGATGACATGTCTAAAGATCCTGGAAATTAAGTAGTTCAGGTCATTAAAAGTGTCCCGCACATGTTATTGATTTAATTTATTTTAAAATGTGGGGGTGGAGATAAGACTGTTACCCCCCGCCCCTGTTTTTTTTCCAATCTGAAAGCTACCCCTTGTACACATAATTAAAACTATTGCTTGGGTGAACAACTCTGTATTTGTTACAACATTAAGCTTTATTATTCAAATAGGTATTAAATCATCCTCTTAATCAGATATCTAGAAACGAGTAGATAATCATTGCAACTTGTGTTGTGGCAAAAATTCCTTCGAGCTTCATTTGTCTCATGATTCCTAGAACCTATGAGTTCTGGGCACCCCAAAAATTTCCTCAGGTAGGTAAAAATTTAGATGAAGGTCAAATGATTTGAAGGAAATTAACTGAAATAGTAATGAAAATATGCCTCTGGATAGACGAGTTTTTTTCTCTATTTTATGAATGTTTTATTTTCTGTTTTTATAATGCAGAAAAGAGTAAACATTTTAGACGGATGGATGGGTGAGTGGGTGGATGGGTGGATAGGTGGATGGGAAAACATTTAGAAAGTGGTAGAGTTTTTCAATTTTATATCACTACCTTCTAAGGCAAGTTTAGGTTATGTGTGTGTGTGTTTAGTTGTTTATAGCTAATTTTCTCCACCAGCCCACACTCTCCTGGACTCCTAATATTCACTGCCATCTCCCAGTGCCTAACATAATAGATGCTTAGTAAATATTTGTTTAATGAATAAAGTATAACCCCAAATACTTTTCTTTTCTTCTCTTTTTTTTCCCTTAAGCCTCAGTGGGTTCAATGGGCTGTGTAAGAAATAGTAAGAGCCCCAGACAGGGCTGGTTTTCAGGATGCCCCCTCTCCAGGGACAGAACATCAGGAGGAGTGAGCACTAGTGTAGCACGGAGATCAGCCTGTGAGGACTGGAGACCTATGTAGCTGCTCATTCCATATATATATCCTGAACAGTATTACCTGTTAGAATGGGGCATCTCAGTGTATAAATTATGCCTAAAAACAATACATTAAATAGAATTATGTATGCATAAGATACACACAATTTGACCTGACTTTGGTCATTTGTTATGTACCTTATACATCACATTGCAAAGCTGTTCCTGATCAGCTGCGTGAGTGATATTTCACAATCAGTTCTCATTGTTCTTTAAACAACATGTGCTGACTAGGGGAAAAAAACCCATGGTAAATTATAAAAATGACCTTTGAGAATAGTTACATCAGTTTCAGAGATTATTGTACAATCTTTGATACTTTTTCCATGATCTTTGTAAAAAAAGGGAAGGAAGGGCAAACGTGCAGTCAGTTCACACACTCTAGCAGACTCTCTTAAAAGTAGATATATATAAAAATGCACTCTGTAGTTCTCCATTAGATTTCTCCTTGAAATTGCGTAATTTGGATATCTGAGAACTGACATGGTTATGCCATTATGCCAGCTATTTAGCAGAGTTCTAAATGGAAGAACTCTATAGATTTTTTTTCAGTATATACGCTGATTTACACTTAGTGGTAAAGTTGTTACTGACCCTTTAAGTGGAGCTGTCGAAATAGCAATAAATGTCAGTTGATCCTAATGCCAAAACAGGTGAGAGCTGAAGGATCTTGACTAAATCTTCCAGTTAAAAAAGCCATATATAGTATTTCCTAAACAGTAGTGGTCTCTTGTAGATACACACACACACACACACCAGACCACTTTATCACTCAGTAAGGAAAATTTGATGTACATATCTTAGCAGTATTATTGATGTTCCTAGGTTTCTGAAATCTGGATTAGACTCTCCATGAAGGCAGGAACTGTGTCTACCTGGTGCCCCACTGTCTTGCCCCCAGTCAGCATCTGAAGTATAGTAGATGCTCCGTAAATGCTGGTTGGGTGAAAGAATAGATAAAATGGAGCATTTGCTGAACTGAATAGCGTGTGTGTCCGCCTGAATTCTTGGTGGGTGAAATGGGGCCCACTCCTCATATTGATTATGAGGAATGATGCTGGTAAGAACTTTGATGGATGGTTATGACTTTTTGAAATAGTTCATTTGATTGATTGCCTAACAAACTTCACTTTCTAATTCTGTTTTCTACTTTCACAGGCTGTCATTTTAGAAAATGAAGAACTTCCCAAGCTGTTTCTTGATTTCCTAAATGTGCGACACTTGCCCTCTCTACCAAAGGCAGAGAGTTGTGGGTAAGAATTGTTGTTTACATATTGGACATGTATTTTAACTTACTCTTTAACCACTTATTGGCCTAATAAATATCCTGAGCGGTGCCAGAAGGGCTGGCCTGGCCACACCCGTTCCTTTGGCTTGGGACAGCACGTGCTCGCCCCCTGCTTGTAGTCAAAGGAATTCCTCCTAAGTCTTCATCCCATATTGTGGCCGAATGACTAACACTCAGTAACTCAGGTTTAGACTTAAGGAATTGACTTTTTAGATTACGCTATTACGTGAAGTGATGTTACATGATGGGAATTATGAATCTAGGGAGCCTGTTTAGGGATTAATATATTTATTTATGGATACTTGAGCAGAGTCTATATCCCCTTGGAACATATATATTCATATAATTTTAAGGCTATAAATATCCCTTGAGGTGATTTTACCCAACTCCCTTTATTTTAGAGTTGAGCAAACTGAGACACAGGAATTAAATGTCTCCCAAGATCTCTTGCCCTGTAGCTGGCAGAGCCCAGGCCTTCCAGCGTAAGCTCTCTTTTCCTACTATCTTGCTCTCTCCCCTTCAGGAACCTCTAGATGCAGGGCTGCAGATCTTCATCCCTATCTACCAGCAACCAGACCTTTGATATCATCAGCAATTGGGAAAAGTTCTGAAGAATTAACTCTGAAACAAGCCATTTGCCCGGCTCTGGGCACCTGACTTGTGTTGAGGTGGCTTCCGAAGGCAGTCGGCAATATCCCTGACACATTACATCCACTTACTAAGAAACACATCATCACAAACTCTCCGCAAATCCAAGCAGGGAAGAGGGTTTTATCCATTTTCTTACTGCCTCCAGACCTGCCTCAAGGACCCACACTAACTACAAGACGTTCAAGCTAACCACACCCAGAGTCATGTTAAACCCCAGCCAGCTGCTGGGTGAGAAGCTGCACATCTGTCACACAGCTCTCACACTTTCCACTCATCCCACAGTGAGAATTATACACCCCGCTCACCAGAGAATATGTGTTGTCAGTGTGTCTGTTCCAACTTGCGTGCATTTACTGGGAGGTCGGGCTTCATGTGTGGTTGTGTATTTTTAAGAAGGGATGTTGGAAATGACAGTGAGTGAAATCTTTTCTCCGTTATCTAAGCCCAAAAGTAAAACCATAGGATTTTTAAATGATCTTCAGGAAAATTGCAATTTGAGAATATTGCAGTCTTAAGATTCCTTAGAATGAGGCATCAGCCATGCTGTGACTGTGTAAACGCTTCACTCTCTTTTCAAAATGTCTCCCATTCAGAGCTCTGAGAATACAGGCTGTTTTTCCCTTTGCTGGCATAAACATTGACCCAACTTATATGGTCTTTTTCTTTTTCTTTAAAACATTTTTTTAGATCTTTTGATGAGACGGAATCTGAAGAGTCAAGGTGAGAAATAATACTAGTCCATCAGGAGCTTTGCAAACCGAGACTGGGACTCTGGTTTTGTTAAATGTTAATCACCATGGAGTAAATGTTCCAAGTCATGATTTTCTTGAAAATCTTTGTTAGGAAATTGATTTTAAGAGTAGAAATATTTTATAGGAAGTTGTAGAAGTAACCAGTCACATCTAGGAATGAAGAAATGAGAGCACTGTATTGTTTCATACAAGTAGTAAGGATACTATTTTATCAGTCATCATACTACAAGATTTAAAAAAACCACAACAACGCTTTTCAGCAACGATTTATTGTATAGATTGTATATCTGCTTCAACTTCCACAAAGAAATGTCTGGAAGATGAGCGCAGTGCTGGTTTGTTCCCTCCAACTCTGCTTGCTGTTATTCACCCACACCGTTAGATACATAAACCTTGAGATGTCCCCACACAGCAGTTTGATCCCCTCAAAGCTAGTTTGTAGTGTTTTCTGTTTACCGTCGTCCCCTGATGCTGACATGCCTGTTCTTGACCTTTCCAGCAAACTGTCCCACCAGCCGGTTCTGCTGTTCCTCAGGGATCCATACGTCTTGCCTGCAGCCAGCGGTAATCAAACCTGTCATCTGCTAACAGCTCTTTACTGATCTGACCCTGCACCACAGAAACCACGTTTTTAATACAGGTCTAACAGAGTGACATTGGTCCAGGGCTTAATAATCTGCCAATAAACCAGTGCTCTTGGTGTAAGAGACATTCAGAATTTTAATTGGGGCAGGGCTTTCAGGAGGAAATGTAATTTTTCTTTCTCTCTTACCAGGCTATTTTGAATTAGAGTAATAAGAGGGAAAGGTATTTATTGTCTTTAATTTTTTTGGTGGTGTTATTTTGGCCTCTGCTTGTTTTTATCCAGATGCAAGGGTTTGAATCCAAGGCTCTGGTCCTTTTTTAAAATGCTTCTTCCCCAAAGCCGTATATATACATTGCATGTGTATCTCCATTTCCTTTTAGATTACAGCATTACAGCATCTTTGATGGTAAATATATATTTTTAAAAGTAGTATATTTAAATCTAATGAATTAATTTAAGTATAAATGTAATCAATATTTTAGCCTGAGTCCTTTCTTTGTGCCAACATATTTAAATTACTGCATCCCCTCTCCAAGTATTCTGTTACACAGCTCTTCAATGAGTACGTTCTCAGACATTATCCCATTTAATTTCCTTAACAACCTTAGGTAATAGGTGGGGCAGGTATCAGCATTGGCTAATGAGAAAATTGGGCTCAGGGAGGTCCTTGACTTGCCCAGTCTCACATGCTGATGGGTAGACCATTGTTGCCTAATTTCTCTTTCTGTGCTCTTTGCATATACAGTCATGTGTCACTTAAAACAAGATACATTCTGAGAAGTGTGTCGTTAGGCGATTTCGTCGTTGTGTGAACATCATAGAGCGTGCTTACACAAACCTAGATGGTGTAGCCTACTCCACACCGAGGCTGTGTGGTCAGTACCACAGTGGTCTTATGGAACCACTGTCGTATATGTGGTCCATTGTTTTCTGAAACATCATTATGCAGCGCATGAATGTAGTGAATTTTCAGCCTTTATTTCTGAGAGTAACTGAATAGATAGCAACTAAATAGCAATCGATAAATTATCTGTTGAAATCATTCCTGCGTTCTGACAATAAAGCCTTTTGACCAGCAAGAAAGAGAGGACTGTTCTCTGTAGCAGGGATGGGTGACTCAGATCACCCACTTAGCTGCTAGTTTAGAGAAGGCCGGCCAGGGCGCAGCCCTGCTGTTGAAGGACCATTCCTAGCACCCTGATCAGAGAGAGCTGCCTTTGAATATGGTCTCATAGTATTTTTCCTATAAAATCCTTTCAGTGAGGAATAATTGCCTTTCTTTAGCATTTGCTTTCCATGTTTAACAAATATGCATGTTATAATAGTTGATACTATGTTAACAAAATGTTACATTTAAAAATATTGATAATGTAGCCTAGGGTAGAGTAAATGGGCAATGTTTTATAAAGTATTCTTATTATCTTTTAAAAATGGTTCCACAAGTACTTTTTCCAGGTATTGTTTATGCTCAGATATTTCATGCATTTGACTGCAATTCCTATAGAAGTATAGAGAGTGGAATGATCGCTGTGGACTAAATAGCCAGGATGCTTTATGGAAGAGGGAAGGTATTTTATGATCCTTAAATCCGATTCATCCAGCTTATTAAGCAGCATGTGCTATGCACTGGGCTTGACAATGAAGAACAGGAGAAACTTTCTGGGAAAGAACATCAGGAGCTAATGTCTGGAGCTAGAAAGATTAAGAAGTGTGTATCATTGGTAGAATGTTGGTGTGGATGAATGACTTGCACACAAAGGGGCTTCCTCTTTGAGAGTAAATGAAAATCATGGGTTTGATGGAACCAGGTATGGGAGACCCAGTCACCAGATATATCTTTGTAGAATTTTGGCCAACCCAATTTCATAAATCAGATTCTTATTGCCTTAGAAGTATTATCCTGGTGATATGTTCTTGCAAATCTTTAGTATTTAATTTAAAGATACCTTTTACTTGCATCACATTTTTGTGTTATTGGGTCTCTTAATAAAACGTTGAGGTGACTATTCCAGAGGATACTGAATATGGAAATACCTTCACAGATATACTGGCACCCACAGAATCAGAGGAGTGTCTGTCTTTAAAGTTCTGACAGTTAAACACTATCTTCTTATTAAATGCTAATAATCAAATGTTATTCTCTAAGCACGTGCTTTTTGGTCTTTGCTTTGATTTTTCCGGGAGATTCAAAACAACTCTTGCCCAGGTCCCCAGTGGCTGCAACATGGCTACACTCTAGGGACATTTTCCAGCCCTCCTGTTACTCGACCTCTCATCAGCTTCAGCACTGTTGACCACTTTCTCCTCCTTCAAACACTGTCTTCTCTTGGCTTTCCCACTTTTCTACTTTTCTTCCAATCTCTGGCAGCTCACCTGAAGGCTGTCGTAGACCCTCCCCTCTTCTCATTACACTTTCTTTTGAATAATCTCCTCCTTGCTTGTGGCCTTGATTACCTTGTGTATACAAGTACTGAGTCACAGTATTGTATTTCCTTTCCAACCCTCCCTGTGAGCTCCAGGCTCTTACCATGGTTTACAAGGCCCTCTGGGGTCTGGCCCTGGCTTGTGTTTCTACTGGGACCCCCTCACACACACTGCTCCAGCCGCACTGGAATTCTTTCTGGGCCTCACATGTGTTGAACTCCTTTTCCCATCAGGGCACTTGCTGTTTCTTCCTCCTTGAACCTTCTTCTTGTCCCCACACATCGCTGCCTCCCTCATCTTTCGGGTGCAACTTCAGAGAGCCTTTGCCCACTCCCCTCAAGAAGTCTCCAAGCACCCCCCCCCACCCCATTCACCTTTTTTTAAAAAAGATTCACAATAAATGTTTATAAAATAAATGAAAACCAACAAAAATAACAATAAAACCTATCTTAAATCACATATCCTCTCATCAACTCTCAATGGAAAACAAAGGCAAGGGCAGATTTCTGAGTAATTTAAGCAATAATGGACATCGTATTAAATCATACATGCGATGAAGCCAAATCATACATACTCCATTTGGAGTGAAACAGATGAGAAAAAAAAAAAGACCTATGATTATCTCATCATTAGTCACTAGTTTATGGACCTTGTTATAAAATACCTCTAGGGCTGGCCCCGTGGCTTAGCGGGTAAGTGTGCGCGCTCCGCTGCTGGTGGCCCGGGTTCGGATCCCGGGCGCGCACCGACGCACTGTTTCTCCGGCCATACTGAGGCCGCGTCCCACGTACAGCAACTGGAGGGATGTGCAGCTATGACATACAACTATGTACTGGGGCTTTGGGGGAAAAAATAAATAAGTAAAAAAAATAAAATAAAATACCTCTATTCCATTCACTTTAATCAGAGCACCCTATTTGCTTCCTTTATAGTAATGATCACAAACTTTGTTCCCTTTTTTGTCTCTTTCTGTCGTATTCACCCACTAAATCGCCAGCATCCAACATCTGCTCGGCATTTTCTGGACAATAACTACAGGGCCTTGGTAGGGGCGGTTTCCTCCACCAGGAATGCCCTTCACCCGGATGCCCTCACAGCTGGCTGCCACACCACTTCATTCTAATGGCACCTTCGCACAAAGGTCTTCCCTCACCTTCCCATCCCCTGTCACTCTCTAGCCCCATGCCCGGCTTTATATTTTTCCTTGCTCTTAACCGCTGCTTGACCTATAACAGTGCGGTAGAATTACCCAAAGTATCTAATGTATTTTCCTTTTGGTCCTTTTTTGCTGAACTTACTTATTTGAATCCATTTAAGCTAAATATGTTTATGCTGTAATTTCATTAACCTTCAAATAGACTTTTATATTTCGGGAGGCAAAGGATAAATGCATATATGATAATGCATGTAATATGTCCTATTTGGGCATTTTATTGAAAATCAATCAACAACTCCATTTATGGCTATTGGTTTCAATACACTTCTGTGTGGGAGAAATACATTTAGAATTAAAATTAACTTAGCTAAATCATTGCTTTTGTTTGGGATTAAATATACAGGTGTGAGACCTATTGCAAACTTTTTAAAGATATGTTTTATGAAAAATCATGTTACTTGATGTTGGATAAATGCAAACACTAAGAAATCAAGTGTCGTCAACCAAAAGTAATCGAATATTCATGTATTGGAGATATTATCGACACATATTTTGCTTGTTTATTCATTTGCTTGTCTCCCTGACTAGCACATAAGTTCCATGGCCTGGGCTGTTATTTACTCATATTCCCAGTAATTAGACAGTACTTGGTACGTAATAATAGCTGGTACTTACCATGTGCCTAGCTCAGGTCAAAGCACTTTGTTTCACCCATCAAGTTTTACAACAACCTGTTAGGTAGGTACTATTATGAAATCCCTCACTGGTCACATCGAATCCATCACCACTTTGGACTTGCTCCAGTCCACTCTTTGAATGGCAGCCAGAGTCATCTTTTCAAAACACAGTTCAATTCTGTCTCAATGTGCTTAAAATCCTTCCATAGCTTCTCATTGCTTTTCAGAAAAAGCCAGAATTCCTGTCCATTCTTATCTGGCTTGAATTGCACCCCCATCGCCACTCTCCACCCTCACGAGGTCTAGTCCCCTTGTAAGTGGTTTTATTTAGTAGGTACTCTATAGAGGTTGGATTAATAAATGGACGTATTTATTATTTTTTGGCTTAAAGTATTGGACTACTTAATTTCCTTGTATAATAACCATATTTATTTAAAGTGGTTGGCTTTAGCATAAATCCTGGATATAAATACGTGCAGATCGAAGTTTAGGAATTAAACTTCTGAACCATGGGATAGATTGGTTCCCCTCTTCAGGGGACCCGTTTGTATTTTCCCTGCTCTGCTGACTGGAACGTGGTACAACATACCGTGCACCTCTGGGTTTCCTTTGTATCTCCTATAAAAATGTAGCTGATTCTTCAAGTTTGACAAGATGGCTTTTGTCGGAAATTTGCCCTTTTAAGTTAGGAAGACAGGCTCCCCTCTTACTGGTCTCCAGAAGCTAGTGTAATAACACAAGCATACTCAAGACAACTTGAACTAAACGCTGCTGTAAACCACAATGGAAAAACTGCAGCAAAGTATTCCCAGTAGAAATCTTGGAATTCCTTCAAGTATATTGAGATTTTGTTAGAAATTGAATTGCCAGTGTAATCCATCTTCCTTGTGAGAAAACATTCAGATAAAGAGCTGGGGCCCGGCAGCATTAACCATTAGAACATCCCTTAAATCAATAAGCTACAAATCTGGCCGCGCATTCCTGCTGCGCCTGGCGGTACACTCCAGTGGCCATGGGCTGAAGCAGCATGACTGATAGCTTGGAACAAGGGCAGACTGCATGGTGAGGCAGATTCCTGAGTTATCCGAGGACCTACCATGTTAAAGTCTACAAAATGCAATTCAGATTTATTGGTGTGTGTAAGAAAAGCAGCTTTCCTTTTGTTTTCCAGATTTTCCGAATGTGGTGATTGAAGGAGTTCTCCACGGGATATTTTATCCTCATCTACAGCCCAGGTAGAAATCCTACACAGCAAGAAGCTGAAGCAAGTTCCGAAGTCATAGTCAAGGAAATCGATATCTACCAAATTAACCCCAACTCTATGACATAACAGCTCTAGCTAGTGGTCCAATTCACAGTCCCAGCTTAATTCAGGGCAGGGACGTTTCCATTGGAATGGTGCTTCTAAAAATAGAAACTGAACCAGGGCAGCACTGAGGTTAAGGCCAAGTGTTTAAGAAGTAGAACGTAGCTGCCAATTTAGAAACCCATGAAAAGGCTCTGGAAGATCCCTGGGAACACCATGTGTAACAAAACAAAGTTACTGTCTGCTTCAGTTGCACCATTTGCTAATTGAAAATCTTATCCTGAATCGTACTGGGACTGATCAACTTTGGTAGCTGTTTGGTTCAGATTGTATGGCACACTAATCTTTTCATCATGAGATTTTCTCAGCCAGTGATAGATAGATTCTGAAGTACTGGCACCAGGGGAGTATCAGAGAAACACACTGTGCTAAATGTGAGGAAGGAACTAAACTGGAAACTAAATTATATCGACAATATTAGGGCATTTTTTTAAATCATGGCATTTTTATTTACATTACAGCAGAGTTGCATCATAACCAGGGGTTAGCTTCTAATGTCAGTACGTAAGATAAAATAGAGTTTCAAGATTATCCTTGAAAGCTCTTTAGAAAGGTGCCATATTGGAAATCTGTCCATCCACCACAAATTTTTCCTCCACTGTTGGAAAAAATGACTGTTTCTTTGGTTGAAGCCCAGTTGAAGTTGTTGGTGTTTGTTGAAGGATGATTTTGTGAAAAACACATACCTTTAAACACTAGAATCACACTTAGCCCTGTAAGATGCTTGACCTCTAAGAGACAGATGTGAACTAACAGTGACTGAGGGAACACCAGACTGACAACACTCATCTTGGTTTGCTCAAAGGCATCCATTCATTGAATAGGTGGTACTGCCATGGAATTTACTGTTATTTTCCTTATCATTTCCTTTTCACTGACCTCATATATTGAATTAATGTAAGTTAAGTGTGCTTATGATATAACTCTTACAGACATTCACGTTTTGAGTGGTAAAGGATAAAAGCATATATGCCACCTGAATGTATGTGCTGTATTCGGGCATTTCATTGAAAACTAATTAATAGGTAGCCTATTTATGCTTATTACTTTTAATAAGCTTCTGTGTGGGAGAAAAATATTTAGATTCAAAACTAATAACTAAATCATAGTTTTTGATTAGGATCTAAATATACAGGTTTAAAGCCTGCTGCAAACATTTAGAGATATACTTATGACAGATATGTTACTACTTGTTGAAACAAGCAAGAACTAAATAATCAAGTGTCATCAACCAAAAATAACTGCATAGTCAAGTGTTGCAGATATTTTTTAAATGTTTTTGTTATTAGCTATTTTGAGTTAAATAAAAACAAAGAACAAGAAATATTTGAATTTGTCTTCTCCTCCTAGGATTTTATTAGAAACACAAATTGTGTCTTGTCTCCTTACACTTACACACACAAAGCTTCTCACATATTCACATAGACATTTATTTCTAATCTGACAGGCTAAGTGTTAAATTACCTCATCTCTTAAGCCAATAGGTACTCATTAAATAGGTGATCGTTTATCAAGATAGTAAGAATTTTTTTAAAGATGAAGACCAAGCATCTTTGGTGGCACACTACTCAAGAAATCTTTTTTGAGGATTAAATTTTTTTTTAGTGGTGACTTTCATTTTTTATTTTTATTTAAATTTTTAATATGTAATTTCATATTTCATTTCAATTCCATTGCAGGAATAGAAACCACAATAGGTGTTTTTAAGCAGAATGGAATAATAAGAAACTGAATGCTTGCAGAATCTTTTGGAAGGATGAAGGGAATGAACTCCTGGTGGGTTTCCAGGAATGACTTCTAGAATGCCCCAGCAACCTCCAGTATCCGCCTGCCAGGGGAGCTACAGCCTCTGCCTTCAGCAGGAATTCAGGCAATCAGGGGCTATTGAGGTCAAAAACTACTTAGCTGTGATCCAGGGGTCAGTAAGTAGCATGGGGGGTAACTGTGACCACCATAACTGCCTCATAGCAGCACCCAGGAAGCTGGTAATGGGGCACTGGAACTAAGTGTCCAGGTGCCACCACCTATACAATTGCCTTTCAGCACCCATGGCCTTGCTTGCCAGCAACCACAGCCCAAAGCAGCAGGAAGATGGTATTCACCCACTTCCATCTTCCACTCTACATCTCATGAAAGTATATCCAATTGGCAAAACCTTATTCTTGATCCGCAGCTTCAAGAGACTCTGGGAAGGAATTGGAACTTTCTCATCTCTGCTGCTCAAGAATGCATATAGGAAAGATAATGGAATATATTTCCAGAGTTGAAAATTTAATAAAAACATATAAAAGGATATTTAAAAAAGAAAAATCCTCTCCCACCATGTCTCCTGTATTCCCAGCTCCCCTCCCACAGACAACCACTGTACTTAGCAGACAACCACTGTACTTAGCTTATGTGTATACAGAGAGATTCCATCCATGTGCAAATAAATAAGGTACATTCAGTGTACCTATATTCCATTTCCCCCTCTTTACAAAGCATGGAGTTTTCGAAGCGTGGATTCCTAGGCAATAGAGAAGTAAATAGTAGAGGGAAGAAAACAGAATAAAGAAAAGAAATCTCATTACCACTTAAGCCAGGATAGGGTACAGCCCTCACTTCCCCATCCCCCTAGTTCTGGGATTTGGTGGTTTGCCTGGGACGGATCTCAGACATCTCCCAGTGCTGTTTTATGCAGAGCCTCTCGCAGGCCTCACCTCCATCACTTGGCCATTTTGCATAGTGGAGCCCTGGTGTCCTTTCTCTCCTGGTGTCCTTTCTACTCCACCCCCTAACCCCCCAGGGGCTGTGTATACAACCCAGTGACACTCGGACCATCACTACCTGGTAAATCCTCCAGTCATTCCACTTTGAAAAGTGTAGATGTCCCATGATCACAGTTTAGAAATAACAAATGGCTTTCATCTCATTTGTCAACTTTAATCAATTGATAATGGCTGCCTAAAGTGCTCTGTTAAGGACTGACACACTCATTAGAGTGGCTACTTGGCAGAAAATAACAAGTGTTGGTGAGGATGTGGAGACATTGACTCTTATACATTGCTGGTGGGAGTGTAAAATGGTGCAGCCTCTGTAGAAAATGGTACAGCAATTCTTCAAAAGAATTAAACATAAAATTACCATATGATCTAGCAATTCCAGTTCTGGATATATCACCAAAAGAAGTGACAGCAGAGACTTGAAGAGATATTTGTACACGCAAGTTCTTGGCAGCATTATTCACAATAGCCAAAAGTGGAAGCAACCCAAGTGTCCATCAATGGATAAACAAAGTATGGTATGTACATTTAATGGAATATTATTCAGCCTTAAAAAGGAAGGAAATTTTGACACATGCTACAACGTGGATAAACCTTGCAGACATCATGCTAAGTGAAATAAGCCAGTCACAAAAGGACAACTACTATATGATTCCATTTATATGAGGTACCTAGGATAGTCAAACTCATAGAAACAGAAAGTAGAATGGAGGTTGCAAGGGGGAAGGAGGTTGCCAGGGAGGAGGAAATGGGGAATTAGTGTTCAGTGGGTTTCAGTTGGGGAAGATGAGAAAGTTCTGGAGATGGATGATGGTGACAGTTGCACAACAGTGTGAATGTACTTAATGCTACTGAACTGTACACTGCAAAATGATTAAAATGGTAAATGTTATGTCATGTATATTTTACCACAATTAACAAAAAAAGGCTTTTTTTAAGAAAGGATTTTGAGTGGGTATAGGCTCAGTGAGTAAGGGTGTAGTAACCAACTAATATTTTTACCAAGGGTGCAGGAGGAGTTTGGGCACACATACCAGGTGCTATTCTCATCTCCCTGGCAACTTCTGAGATTCTACAATAGTTCTAAACCAGAGATGCACATCAGAATCACCTAGGACCCTGAATCAATAAATCTGGGCTGGGGCCTGTCCTTGGGTACTAAGGAAAACTGGGTACTTTAGAAAACAGTTGATTCTGACACACACCTGTGTTAGGAACTATTCTTTGAGGGATGTGAAGAGGTGAAATGGTTTATGAACTACTACTCTTTAATGATTATTGACCTTTATACCTCCTGCAGAACCTATTCTCAAGAGAACATAGATTCAACCCTTGGGGTGTTGCAGGTGACCATGGGGAGGGACTTGTCTTGGTTCCTTTGGGCTGCTATAACAGAAATACCGTAGGCTGAGTGGCTTATAAACAACAAACATTTACTTCTCGCAGTTCTGGAGGCTGGGAAGTCCAAGATTAGGGCTTTGGCACATTTGGTGTCTGGTGAGAAGCTCTGCTTTCCCTGTGTCCTCACATGGCAGAAAAGGGGCGAGGGATCTCTCTGGGACCTCTTTTATAAGGACGCTAATCTCTATTCATCTCCCAAAGGCCCCACCTCCAAAGAACATCACATTGGGGATTAGGTTTCAACATATGAATATGAGAAGGACACAAACATTTAGTCTATAGCAAGACTCTTTGAAGAAGCAGCAAGGATGACAGACAAGTTTTGGTGGTCTCAGTTGACACCCTATATGAATATGTATTCATTTACTCATCTACTCGCAGTGAAATATATTTGAGTTCCCTCACTCAGCCTTAATCCCTGGATTAAGGCACTGTATCAATCATCTCAAGAATAGAGACATAATCCTTGTTTTCTGGAATTTTAGGCCACTTACTAGAGAATGTCTTTCCACTTAACTGAATTGGATATGAAGTTCAGTCAGTGGTTAAGGCTATCTTCTTCGGTCTCTCTACTCAACTTTGAAGCAATCATTTTCCTCTTGCTTGTTTTCCATCCTTGGTGATAATTATAGATTTCAAATTCAGCAGCGGAAACCCAGGGAAGTAGCAGACATTAACTCAAAACGGAAATTTCTGCAACATTTATGTTTTCTTTCCATGCAGACACATAGTGACAGTCTGGAATCTGATGAGGCATTTATTTTCGTGTGAGGGGGAGGAGGGTACATTAAAATATTAAGCCATTGGAGTGCATGTAATTTACCAGAAAAAACTTTCTTTTTATATCCTAGGAGTATAATGGTAAATCTGACCTATAAAATGTGAAACATTTTCTGTCTTCATTACTCTAACATCAGTCATAGTGACATCAACAGTGACTCCAGCTTGGATATTCTGTTCATTTAGATACTTCTATGTACTGAGCTCCAACTGGGCACCGCATATGGTTGGACTAGGGCTTTTCATACTTTATCTCATTATAACTGTTAACAAAGTTTTATATAAAACTTATATAACATATAAGTTATAACAAAGTTTTTACGAACTTTTGTTGAAGAAAATCAGAGAGATTAACAATAAGTAGCTAACATGATTGAGCACTGATATGGGGGCCAAGAGGACTGGGCTCAGTTCTGTCCACAGTTTATCCCATTGATAATATCCCATTGATAAAACACATGTTTATGAGGGATGTATTCTTATTATTCTACTTTACAGTGAGAAAAATGAGGACAAAGGCAAAATAGTTTGACCAAGTTCACCAGTTAATAAACAGGATCAGGATTTGAACCTTTCAACTACAAAATTCATGCTAATTGACTCCCCCATCAGCCTCACATCAGAACTGTTTGTATTTATGTGCATTTTTGAACCACGAGGAATACTCAAGCCGGAAAGAACTAGTATTTGTGTCAGTTGCTAGTATTTCCATACTACATTATAATTTACAGTATGCTTTCCCATCTCACTTGATTAAACCAAGCTCTGTCCTCTCAGCTGCAGCCTCTTCCCAGGTCTCTCTCTATTTTCACTATAGTCCATTCTCCATATAAGAGCCAGAACCATCTTTTTAAAATGTTCATCAGGTCATATTCCTCTCTTGCTCAAAATCCTCCAGTGGCTTCCATTCCCACTTAAAATTGAAACTCCTGCCACCCTCTCTAAGTTCCTTTGCACTCCTCTTGCTGATACTCATCTTACTGGCCTTTCACTCCCCAGGACTTGCCAACCTTGGTCCCCTCTCAAGTCCTTTGGACTTGCTGGTCTCTGCCTGAAGGACCCTTTCCGCCTCTCTTCAGAAGACTGGCTCATTCTCATCTGTTAGGTCTCAGCTTAAATGTCACCTCCTGAAAGAGCCCCTCCTCTGTCACCCCATCTAATGTAGCACCCCAACTCCCACTCCACACAATTATTCTATCATAGCAAACTGTTCCTTCTTTCACAGCAATTATCACCATCTGTAATTATCCTGTTATGTATTTGTTTACCGTCTTTCTCCCCACAAAGAACGTGAACTCCATGGAGAGCAGAGGCAGCATCTGACTTGTTTACACTGTTTCTCCAGTGCAGTGCCGGGAGTAGATCTCAGGAACCACTGTTGAAGAAGCAGACGGCTGGCAGCCCGTGTTCCCGGCACCCAGCTCAGTGCTGGCTACATGCTTCACAGCAGGGGCTTCTTAATGTGTGTGGAGTAAAGAACCTTGAAATCAGGATTTGCTAACATCTTGCCAGATTCCCATAATGATTCATTACATCTGATTGTCCCGAAAACAGTGATTTTCTACAGTTTGCTCACCAATTTGATACACGGAATGGTAATGGGTTGGGTAACTACACACTTGGATGATTTCTTAAATGTCTGTCTTTCTTTACAAATGAATAACCAAGCTAATTCAGTGATTACAAAGCACGGTTTTGTTACACCCTAGGGCAGTGGTTTTCGCAGTTTGGACCCTGGACCAGCAGCATCAGCATCACCCAAGAACTGTTAGAAATGCAAATTCTCAGGCCCTGCCCCAGACTTACAGACTCAGACCCTCTGAGAGTGGGGCCCAGAAATCTGACAAGCCCTCCAGGTGATTATGATGCACAATAAAGCTTGAGAACCACAACCCTAGGACAGTTCAAATTATTTTTATGTTGCACATTTTTAAAAGGTTTAAACTTTTAAAAATGAAAACAAAACCCTCAATACTTTTAGGGGTAGCTGGCAGAAACTCAAACAATGCCAGGATGGCTACTAACAAAGGCTGGCGATACCTTTAAAACAACAGTCCAACCCATCAGCAACTCAACAAAACCAATAAGGTATTTTAAATGTAGTAAAAGATGAGATGTCATACACTTAGAAATTGTCTTCTTTTACATGAACTTTTATATTTGGTTATCATGGTAATTTTCTTCATCACAGAAGGCAACATGGTATCTTTCTAAATCCTTGGTATCTTTCTAATTTGAATCTGAGTAAACTAGAATCCTTGACTTCATGGAACTTAGAATAATGTGATCTTGGATGGATAAATACCTCAAAAATTTGTCATTACAGAATGTAAGTGCTATGAAGGAAAAATAAGGAGGTTTACTTATGTCCAGGGAAGACACCTAATTTAGACTTGGGCAGAGTGTGAACCTTCTCTGAGGTAGTGACAGAAGTTGAGATCTAAAGGATGGTGGAGGAATCAGCTGGGCAAAGAATGGGGAAGGAGGAGGGTGTTGCAGAGACATCAGCAGATTCCAAAGCCCCAAATCGGTAGAGAGCTTCAGTTAAGTTCCCCAGGGAAAGCCAGTGATTTAAAGGATAGTGAGGGACTGGGGCTGGATCCCACGGGCCCTCCTCGGTAGGTGGAATTCAAGAGTATAGCCTTTGTGCAGTGGGAAACCATTGACGGGTTTTACACAAGAGGGATATGATCCATTTTATTTTATTTCATTTAGCTTTATTGAGGTACAATTGACAAATAGTGATTTATTTTACTTTTTTACATTCATTTCTTTTTCTTTATTAGGCATGAAATTTTTTTAAACATGAATTTAAAAAAATCCTCCAAACAGCTCGCAAGCATTGGAAACAATATGCAATTTAGGATAATGCATATGATTACACATATGTGATATATCACACTTGATCTGATTTAGTTTTAAAAGACTGCTCTGGCTGATTCTGGAGAATGGACTGCAGGGTCTGAAGCAGAAAGACTTCATGTTAGGAGGCCACTTGAATAATACAGGTGAGAGGTGACCTTCTGGTTTAAGGTGGTAGCAGTGAAGAGGATGAGATCTGGATAGTTAAGCTATATAGCAGAGCTGCCAATGAACTTGCTGATGATGGACTTGGATGTGGAAGGTAAAAGGAGGGGGGAAAGCAGTCAAGGATGGGTTTTTGGCTTGAACAGTTGGTTGGATGGTCGTGCCATTCATTGATTGGGGCTGGGAGTGGGAGGTTGGGACCTGCTATAGACTGAATGTGTCCCCCCAAAATTCCATGTTGAAACCTAACCCCCACTGTGATGATATTTGGAGGTGGGCCTTTAGGAGGTGATTAGATCATAAGGGCAGAGAATTCCCTTGCTTCTTCCACCATGTGAGGACACAGCGAAAAGATGACAGTCTACGAACCAGGAAGAAGGCCCTCACCAGACCCCAAATCTGCTGGTGTCTGCATCTTGGATCCAAGCCTCCAAAACGAGGGGAAATAAATTTATGTTGTTCATAAGCTACCTAGTCTATGGTATTTTGTTGTAGCAGCCTGAACTAAGATGAGGCCCCTATCCCCAGGGATCTCCAGGTTGCTGGATAAATCCTTTCTTAGGCCTCGGTCTCTTTTACAGTTCAGACACTGTGACTCCTGGTTTGCTAGTTATGTCTGCAGCTGCGTGAAAGAAAAACTAGATGCAACACTGATCCACCAACAGAAGGAAACTGACCTAGAATTTTCCTATTGTGGTGATAGCTTGTGCTGAACTATCTCTAACTTCTTGCCCAGTTCCCAAGGGTCAGGACTATGCTCTGCAGCCAGGAGTAAAGCAAAGCAGAGAGAGCAAACCTGTGACTCTGCCCGCAAAGTGCATCATATTACTATCTAACTGAGTTTACAAGTGGTGAGCAGTGTGTCTGTACACAACTTTCTCATTGACTCCCAGGGAAGGCCACACAAATCGCCCAGCAAATGAGGATTCAAATGTAAAGGTTTCCAAAGTGGACACCGTGACTTCCACAGTACCTGCGACTAGAGAGAGTGGTTTCTCATCACCTTTCGGGTCAAATCCAAACTGCTCAGCTCAGGGCTGCGCCTCCACCAACTGCTGACAGCACACCATGCTCACAACCAAGGCGTGACACCGAAGCCAGCCACCACCCACCACAGACACTGCTGCTTAAGGGTACCGCCACCTGGACCCTTCCTCCTGCTGTTTGATACCCACCTCATTTTTGCCAGTCTACTTCTATCATGCCCTTCAAACATCAACCCAGAAAATAGAGGAAAAGTTTATTCTTTTAAAGGTAACATTCTTGAAAAAGAATAGAAACAGTTAAAAGACGAATGCCAATGTTTAACAATCTTTACGGTCCTGAGAGATTTTTAAGTACCTCATAGTATACACATAGTACATATAATACACACATTATTTTTGGTTACTGATTCTGAACATGCTTATTGAGCATCAATTATGCGTGAAACACTGTCTGGGGATAGATTAGGAATGAGATCTAATTCTTGCGTTAGAGGAGCTTCCAGTCCAAGGAGGAGATGGGAGACACCCAGGAAGCATGCAGCTGCAACAGTGTGAGGAAGTTTCACATACTGAGGAGGGGTAGGGGAGGCAGAGAGAGCAGCTTGTGTAAGGCTTGGAGGCAATTCAGAAGTTCCGAGGTCTTTATAAGAGAGCTGTAACTTCCAGAACAGGAATAAATCGTCTTGAATTTCTCTGCTGCAGGCTGACCAGTTCTTATTCCTCTCCTCATGACATTCTGTCACAGTGTAGGTCCTGGTGTCTAGAAGAGGCATAGGAAGCAGTCCTATCTTTTATGTTCAGGTTAGAAGAAAAAGGTTCAAGTTTTCTGATTGAGATACCTCTCCAAATGACAGGATGTAATATTTATCACCTAGGACAAATGGTGACTGGAGTTTTAATAGCACTTTAAAGGCCCAGTGTGCTTCAGGAAGAAAGTCCTTCACATTTTCTGAAAAAATTGATAGATGTGGAAACTTACATGATTTCTAATAACACTTCAGAAGTAGGCGAGGGAAGGGATATTGGCATGTTGAGTCCTCTCCAAATCCTCCAAATTTGTGACTCCAAGCATTCTGATGGAACTAGCGATGGGATTAAAATTCCATTTATGGATTTTGTAATGCATTTTGTTTTGACTCAATATTTGCCAGATGGACCTTTTTTTTCCCAGACAGGACTCCTGTGACTAGTCACTCTAATTCTGCATTAGTGCCAGTTGTTTTTCCATCACTCTGGAATATCAGTAACACTAGCAAATCCCCGAGTAGGTGAAGTTATATCACACCTACATCTTATGCCTGGCCAGAATCTTAAATCCACAAGATGAATTACAGACTTAAGTAAAAGCCGTTATGTACTTAACAGCCCCAAATTTTCCATTACAAATACTGTTTTTACTCTTTCTTAATTTAAAAAAAAAAGTGCCTTGAGGGTCTTTGAATTTCCAAGCCTTCCAGATCAAAGATTTCTTCAGCTGTCTGAATTATAGGAATGTTGAAAAACAAAAACAAATCCTTTTCCTGCTATAAAATCTTTGCCATGTTTTTGTCTTTATGTAACTCAAAACGGCTGAACTAAAAAATGAGGTTGGTGAGTTCTGTTCAAAACCTAAAAATTCATCAGCAATGGAGTCGTCAATAATTTTGAAAGTGTGGTTCTAAACCATCCGACCCAAGAATAACTTTTACTAAGTTCTTACTTGGTGATCCAGAAAATTGCTAAATGGTCCTTAAAATAAAACAACTACGGCTAAAGATACCAAAATGTTTTAAATTGTTTGTTAAAGTGATTCAAGACTAAACTGTAATAATTTGGGCACAGTGATGGTGGTGGCCAGTGTAATTTTCCTCAGATTCCACATACACCCTGGGCTGCATACGTGACCTTTCAGCAACACAGTTGGCAAAATAGTGAAGTATTTATTTCAGAGGCTTTTGCAGAGAGCGTAGACTTTTTGTAAAGCAATAGTTTATAGTCATCAGTTTGCTGATGTTTTTGGCATAAGGTCTGACCCTCAGTGTACCAGAAATAAATGACTTTTAGCAAGGGGTGTGATGTTAGCTTATTGGTCATCTGGTATAATAGATGGCCTGACAATTTACTACCTGTGCACTAATGCTCTCAGAATTTCAGCACTTCAAAAATGAACCACGTTTTGCTTTGTCACTAGAGATGTCAATATGCTCATACTAATGAAAAGACTAGAAGCATGTCCTTATGCATGGCGGGTCGCAGTGGCTTACATGCTCTCTGACATTTGAGATGTAAGGCACTTTATGTGTCTAAGAGGTCATTTGTTTCCAATTTCCTTGCATGTTATCTTTAAAAAAATTTTTTTTAATGTTTTCTTTTTCTAATTATTAAAAAGAAATACACCCTAGAGAAAAATTGGAAGACTAAAAAAAGTAAAAGATGATATAAACATAAAAGAGTTAAAAAATCCCACCACTTGCATTTGCTTTATGTCAATTTACATTTTGTTGCATTTGCTTTTTGAGAATGTATTTACATAACTGAGATCATGCTGCATATGGAATTTCTACTTTTTTCTTGAAAACAACCATTTTCTCATGGTACTGTAGCACCAGTCTTAATGAATGCACACTGTTCTATTATGGGATGTATGTTTTATAACCATTTGGGGACATTCAAGTTGCTTCCAGTATTTTGTTATCATAAATAATTCTGCAATTCACATCTTTATACATAAAACTTTTTCAATATTGCTGTATTAGACAAAGACTTTAGGTTGCAAGTCACAAGAAATCAGTTAGCCCTGTCTGAAGCAAAAAAGGCAATGTATTAGCTTGCATAGCTAAAAAGCTAGGGGTGGAGTTGGCTTCAGGCACAGCTGGACTCAGGGGCTCAATGGTGTCTTCAGGAATCCGTCCATCTTTCCATCTCCTACACCAGCTACCCTCCGTGCCAATTTCATTCTCAGGTCTGTTCTTTTACATCCCAGAAGAAAAACAGCAGCTCTTTCCCAGTGTTTCCAGCAGCAGTCCCACAGCTGAGGCTCACTAACGTGACTGAGGTCAAACACCTATCCCTGAGCCAGTCACTGGGGCCAGGTGAGGGAGTGTTCTGATTGCCTACAGGACATCCCTGCTCCCTCTCCCACCTCACCCCCCACCCTCACGCTGTGCCCCTGAACTCGTTGCTGTCTCTTGAACCCATCAGCCTGCCCTTCACCCAGGGCCACTACTCATGTCCCCTCTGCCTCACACATTCTTCCCCCATTGTCCCCACGCCTTGCTGCCCCCTCGCTTCCTTCAGTGCACGCTCAGGGACTTCCCTGACCACCTCTTCACTGTCCTCTCTCCTTGCTCTGTTTCTCTTCATAAACTTATTACTACCTGAGGGTCTGTTATATATATTCATGTGGCACATGCCTGAATCGTCTCCTTCCATGGGAACCACGAGGGCTGACACTGTTTGCAGCTCTATCCAGCACTCAATGAATATTCATCAAGTGAGTTGAGGAATGAGTTTGCCAGGCCAGGTATGTACCCATCCGTAGGGTCAGCCTCCCCTAAGGACAAGAAATGCTGAGGGAATGCTGTGATTCCCCAAAGAAAATGGGCAGCCGTCCCCAGAACATGGGGGACTGGATGCTCGACTGACCCAGTGATGCCCACTGTAATTTCAGATCACTTTCTAAAGCAAATGCCCAGGAGGGGGGCCTTCAAAGGGTATGAATGTTTTGAGTTTCTTGATATGGACTTTAGCTCCCTATAAAAATTCTCCTCAGAGCAGACAAAGGAATCTTTCTTAAGTGCAGACCACATCATGCCCCTCTCCAACTTAAAACTGATAGTTCCCCACTGTTCTGTGACGAAAAGAAGAACTCTCCCCCGGCCCCCCAGAGCTGAAATGATCCAGTCTCAGCCTTGCTTCTCTGACCTCTCAGGCTCCAGCACTCTGGCTTTCTCTTCTGCCCTGGAATTTCCTCCTTCTTACCTCAGGACCCTCGTACTTTCTCTTCCCTCTCTGCCTGGAAGGCCCATACCGCAGATCCCGCCTGACCGCTGCCGCCTCTTTGTTCTTCAGCCTCAGCTCGAATGTCCCTCAAGAGCCCTTCCTTGGCCAATTGATCAGTACTCCCTCCCAGCCTCTCCAGCAAACATGGCGTGTTTTCTTCACAGTACTCATCACTTTTTTTGTTACTTTATTAATTCTGTCTTTTCCACTAGAATGTAAGCTCCATGAGGCCTTTTTCTCGCTGTCCATTGCTATATCCCCAAAACCCAAAACCAGTACCTGGTGTATCAAAGGCCTTTAATAAATTTTTGTTTGTTAGAAAAAAATTAACAAATTGGTCTCCAAGAGGGTTGTAGCCATTAAACACCCCATCAGCAGTAAGAATGCTCATTTCATCTCTTCTCTCATTGAAGCAATTTTCTCAGAATGTAGCTCAAGAGATGGGATTTTTTTGGACCCTCACTGCATGGATGCCGGAGGAGAAGCCATGGGGCTGTTTTCTAACAGCTGCCACTCCCATTTGAACAGAGATCAGGCACCCTCTGTTACAGTGGGTATGTTACACCAAGGCCACAAGAGGGTTTTACTTTCCCATCTAGTTTAAGTACAGCCTGAATCTTCATCCTGTTACATAAGTGAAGAAAAGATTCCTTTTTGTTGCAACTAGACTCAAGGGAACTCTCTAAAAATGTTACATTGACTACAAATTAGTGAATAATTAGCTCAGGTATTTGGGATGTGGATGGGCATCATTTCAGTGCATTCCCATCCCAAATTCTCCAGTTGGGTTAGTATTTTGATTTACAGAACCCTCTCTAATGTGTTCACTGTTAACATTAGAGTGCATATATTTTTGTACATTAATTTTTTAAAGAACTTTAAATTAAAAAAAGTCTTGCAAAAAGAGTTGATCTATATAAAAAGTATTTATTATAAAGAAGACCAAAGCGCCTTTTATCAGGTAAAAGTCCCTATGACATATATCAAATTATACTAATCAAATCTCCCCTTACCCAAAAAGAATTCTGTTTGAATACAAAATAAACTTCATGTCCCCATTTTTTTCAGAGAATTCTTTAGCATCACTCAACTTGGGCATCACAATTAATTCAGCAAAATAATGATTGTATTCTTCAAAAGAAGATAGCCAGTACAAAGTTTTCTAGTTTAAAAACAGCACCATTGGAGGAAGAGGATATGTCTTTTAAGTGCAAAATCCTTAAATAAGTGATTTACCAAAAGTCATGCAAACTAAACTTTGAGTGGATGATTTTATAGGTAGGTAAGCACAGGTATACTTTCCTATGATCTGGGGTGGAAAACAGAAGAAAGTGAAAAAACAAAGCCAAACAGTAACTTTGAAGAATGAAAAGACACACACACACACACACATCCCTGCCAGAGTGTGTTTCTTGTTTTCTGCCAGTTGTATCACCAGTCAGCAACCTCAACCACGAAGGGCGTCTTCACGTCTATCTTGCCACTGTTGACGATGGAGCAGTCGGTGAGCGGACGGTCGTGCCCGTCAGTTGGCTGCAGTTCTATGGAGTGGACCACTGTCTGGTGAGAGAAAGGCAGACCCATGGTTCACTTCTGACTCACAGCTATGGTGATCGAAAGGTGAAATCCATGCCAAGTCGAAAAGCCCAGGTGGGAAAAAAGTTTTTTTTGTTTTTTGTTTTATGATTACAAACCATGCAAGCTAACTATGGAAAACTTAGAATATTCAGGAACTTTATATATAACAATAAAATTTACCCACTACCGTGCTAATCAGAAGACATATTTGTGTATTTCCTCACTTCTTTTTATTAACATTTTATATTCTAAAAAAAATTAGATATTTTCGTAAACACCTACCTCTAATAAAAGGTATTTCTACTCACTTGTTACAACCCAGCATTTAAGAGTTAATATGAAGTATGAATCAATTTCAGCTCCACCCTGTAATAGGTCTAGACATAATAAAATGGGCCAGAAAGCAGATTAAGAAATGGAGCTAGTCCCACGTTTGCCCATTTTAAAGCTGACCCAAGCCATTAATCTACAGGTTGAGTCTGATACTAATGTAACCCCAACCCCACAGTGGTGTGAAGGCCCCTTTCTCTACCCTGGAAGGCTTCACAAGCCCATGAACCACCTTATGTTTCACACTGAAGGCGGGAGGTCTGGTCAAGGACCAGGCAGGTCGGCTTCTGGTGGGTTTCCCCAACTGGGTTGAGACACGAATAACTACAAAGTGTCTAAGTGCCTTGGACATGGTGTCAACTAATCCAGTCTCTGGCTGACTTAGGTTAATTTAAGATAAAAGACCAGCATTCTCCTAATAATAATATATATTTCTAAATAGATTGTGTGTGGGGGTGTGTGTGCGTTTGCACACATGTGTACCTAAAGCAGTGGCTTCACATCTGAATTACCTGTGGCACTTTTAAAAAATGCTTATTTAATGGTTAAAATGAAAATTTCTATGTTATATATATTTTACCACAATTTTTAAAATTGCTTATTTGTGGGTCCACCTCTGGAGGTTCTGATTTTAGAAGTCTGAAGTGAGGCCCAGAAAACTCGTAGTGTTAACAAAGCAACCCACATGATCTCTGGAGGATCAAGGGATGGAATTCTGCAAATTCCTTGAAACTGTATGAAACACACACACACTTTTTTTTCTCCTGGAGAGAAAGTCTATAGTTTTCATCAAAGAAGTTTATGACCCATAAAATGTTAAGGACTCTTCCTCTAAGACCAGGCAGCAGGTCTCCCAGGCTTCTTCCACTGGGTGGAAGGAAGTCGGTACAGTCAATTAGGGCAATAAGACACAAGCTCAAGACGACGTGAAGAAAAGCCATGACCAGAAGAAAACCTAAATCTTTACTCTTCATTTTTCTTACAGCTTAGCACAATGTTGTATTTAAAATACATTGAATGAATGTTTGAATCAGTTTACACTTAAACTATTTAGAACCTGGTTAGGCCCAGTGGTCAAAAACCCAGACTGGTTTAACACATGCATGCCCATGTTTAGCTCATTTCAAAAGCAAAGTTCAATAAGAGACTTGGGGAGTGCTGGCATTCGTTGTTATTTCAGAATAGATTCTTTGAGGACAATTATGGCTCATGAGAGTAGAGGCACGTCATTTATTGTGATGGGATGTAAATCATATATTAAGTGATATGTGTTTGCCCTATTTCCCTCTCATCCCACTTGCTAACAAGAATTCTCTCTTTGATGGCTCAGGCTGAACAATTCCTTGCCTCGTAAGGGAGCTTCGGGGTTGGCCGGCTCAGCTCCTGGGCTTTTGTTGGGGAGAATCAGAATAGCAGGTAGAAGTTACGGAAGAATTGCAGCGAGTGAGATTGGTTTATTTACATTGGGATGAGGGAGGCAGAACAACTCAGATGAAAACAAAACAAAATGAAATGTAGGAGAAGGCAAGGGAGTCAAGGACGGTCCAGGGCAGACCTTACAATTACCAGTTTAGGAGGTGGGAGAGCTTCTTCGGGCAGTTGCTAAGGAAGACAAATGCTGGGAGTTGAAGGGAACGAGGATTTTAAGAAGTGTTCCTGTGGATTATGAATTGGACCCCTTTGATGTTCTTTGATTCACACCAGCATAAATTTAAATTCTCTTTAGTAATTTTGGTTGCTATACTGTGTGTCTTTGAAGACTTGTGTCTGTACTGAACCACATGAGGCTCAGGATATTTTTTAACATTTTATTTTTAATTGTGGTAAACAACACATAACATGAAATTTACCATCTTATCCACTTCTGAGCGTACAGTTCAGAAGTGTTAAGTATATTTACATTGTTGTGCAACTAATCTCCAGAACTTTTTCATCTTGCAAAACTGAAACTCTATACCCATTGAACACCAACTCCCCGTTTTCTCCTCCCCCAGCCCCCGACAACTACCATTCTACTTTATGTTGCTATGTATTTGACTACTTTAAATACACATAAGTGGAATTATACAGTCTCTTTGTGTCTGGCTTATTTTACTTAACATCCTCAAGGTTCAGCCATGTTGTAGCATGTGACAGGATTTCCTTGCTTTTTAAAGCTAAATAATATTCCATCATATGTACATACAGGGCCCTGGTTTTATTCGGTTACATTAAAAAGAGTTTCCATTTATATCAAGTAGTGAGATAAATTAAGTACAGTCATGCATCACTTAACGATGGGGATACATTCTGAGCAGTACGTCATTAGGTGATTTTGTCATTGTGTGAACATCATAGAGTGTACTTACACAAACCTAGGTGGTAAGGCCTTCTACACACCTAGGCTATATGGTACTGTACTAATCTGATGAGACCACTGTCATATATGTGGCCCGTCGCTGACTGAAATATCGTTATGCGGCACATGACTGTATTCAACTTCTCGTCAAGTCCTCAGCTTCTGTGCCAATGCTCCTAACAATTAAAATATCATACCATAGATAATTTATTCACCTTTGATGAGGCCAGTCAGCATATAATGATGGAGCTCTAACAAACACATTTTAAGATTAAAATAAATCACTGAAATTACTTTCATCATAAATATAAAGCTTTGAATGAGAAAAAATAATATAAAAGTTACCATTCCATCGATGACTTTTCCAAATACCACATGTTTGCCATCCAACCAGGTGGGCTTGGTCAAGGTGATAAAGAACTGAGAGCCGTTGGTGTCAGGCCCAGCATTGGCCATGCTGACCCACCCAATGCCGTAATGCTTCAGTTTGAAGTTCTCATCTGGAAATGTCTCACCGTAAATGCTTATACCTGAGTAAGACAAAACAAAAAAGAGGAGAATCAACAGATGTTATATGAAAGTAAATTCTTCAAAAGGAAACATAAGGTTTTAGTAGAATTGGTTAATAGAATCTTATCAGAGGTCAGATGGGGAAAAAGATGGTCAAACATAAGGAGAAATAAAGGAGAAGATAAAATTAACTCCTTAAGGAAGCAGGGCACCAGGGACCAAGACCCAAACCTTGACCAAGGAACTGAAGGGAGGATGATATCATAAAGCCAGATGGAAAGGTGGATGAGCCATGTCAGTGGCTCAGTCTCTGTCCTGAGGTTCAGGTTACTTGTTCTGGGTCACTCCTACCTCAGCACCCAATCAGGGTGCAAGAAGCGCCTAATATACACCCTTGGCTAATTCTCACAACAATCCTATAGAATAGGTATTCTCAATCCCATTTTGAACGGGAAACAGGTTATAAAACTTGAAAGCAGCAGAGCAGAACTTGAATGTCTGACTTTCTGACTCTAAAGCCAGTGCTCTTTCCTGCCTCAGTGCTAAGAGCAATAGCAGCCAGCCTGGAAGTCATTAGGCCTGATGACTTCAGGGCTCATCAGGATACAGAGGATGATGGCAATTGGGAGTGCCCAGTGATCCAACCTTGAACAGAAGGACCAAAGGCAGGCATGTGGGCTGGAGTTCTAGCAAGGCAGCAGGTAGTGCGGAACACATTTTCCCCATAAAACAATAGTATAGACCATGAGAAGTAACTACTCCATCCTCCATCCTGCCCTTCTGCAGGGCTCCTTATCCATCGGTTGCCAATCTTAAAATCCTGGCTCAGTTACAAGGACCAGAAGTGGGTATCAAAGGCATGCAGTTTATAGCTGGTTGGTTAGTGACATATGAGATGGCCTGGAGGAAAGCTCTGCCCACAAAAAGGTCTGGGCTAAACTGAAGTGATCCCAAAGGTCCTATCTCCAAAACTCAGAGAATTTTAACTCAAGACACATGTGTGCACGGTTGCATACACACACACACACACACAGAGCAGGGAAGGCAGAGAGAGAGAAACGAAGAAAAGAGGGCACTGTAAAGCTTAGATATCCTGCTGGGCCCCGAGCAGACTGGTACTCGAGCTGCAGGCTTTTCCAGTGAGACCCAGCTCTGCAGCAGCTGGGGTTGCTTCCCTGAGCATCCTCACCAACCCCGTTAACCCAAGTAACCTGAACATGTTTCTCGGCTCCACTCTGCATCCCCATACCCTGCAACATTTTTGCCAGGACTAAAAGTAATCCTCCTGAAGTGCCTGGCAAATCCAAGCATTTAATGGTAGCCATTTAGTTATAAATAAACCATGGCAATAAACATAAAATTAGCAATAGTGCTTGAAAACGGCCTGTTTCTTTTAAAAGTAGCAATTTAATATCTACTAAAACCAGTATTTGCTGAATTAAAAATCTTAAACATAAAGTAAATTTAAATTCTGTGTAGTGATAGATATTATGTGTGTTCAGAAAAAGAACTCACTACATTTCTGAGGGAAAACAGTCCAGGGAGCTGGGTAGATGGAATCTTCAGTGAGAAACAATAAGCTCAGGGATATCTGAAACTCTATAAATTTAATTATTTGTATTTTATAGAACTCTAACTTTGTTTATAGAAATTAATTTATATTATAATTTTGACAACTCATCCATTACTTAAATTTTTTTTATTATTGAAAAAGCTGACAATAAAATGAAAGAATTTTGAAAGAAGGGGACAAATTCACCTGTAATCCTGCCACCTAAATACCCAGTCTTGTCATTCTAGCATGATGCCCCCAGTCCTCCTCCACCAACACATCCACATTTGTGGTGAGCTGCCATCCCAGTGTCCACACGGTTTTATATTCTTCCTGTCCTTCCCGTGACAGACATCTTTCTGGATTGCTACATAGTAGTAATCTAGCATTTCAACAACTGCAAAATAGTCTACTAAATGAATATCTCTCCACAGTGGAAAGATAATGAACACCAAAGCAATTCTTTTTAAATTTAGGAAGCCTTACTCGTTCATGCCTGCGAAGATTTTGGTAGATGAGGCACCCCAAACTCTATCCTTCTTAAAGAATTAGTTTGGTGAGCTTTATGATTTTGTTCCTTAAATCTGGGAATTCAATATATTGGGTGAATATATTGGCTTAAACTTAGGTTTCAATTTGGTAAGCAGGAAAGGAAAAATGCAAAGATGTTACCGCCAGTGCCATCTCCACTGGTGAAGTCTCCTCCTTGAATCATGAAATCTTTGATGACACGATGAAATTTGCTTCCTTTATATCCATATCCTTTCTAAAGAGATTATGTCAATTGAATATACAAGTAGATATAACCCATACTGAAAGATAAACCCCAGTGTTTATCTGGAAATGACAAAATGAGAAAATTACACAAAAAATCTACAGAACTTAATTAGGTCCCTGCAATGATTTACTGATAGAAATTTATCATTAGCTGACCAAATAATCATGATAATAATAGTAATAAAAACAAACTATGGAATTAAAGTATTAACTTGAATAAGTAAAAAGAGAACAATCTGCATTTTCACTTGATGACTGTTTCCCCTCAATTTCTAGAACTCTAAAGAATATATATTTTATAGGAAAATAAAGTAAAATATTATAAGATGTCTCAAGTTCATCTGACCTATTAATTTAATATTTATTTTCCCAGAAGACATCTTTATGCTTGGCTTAAAAGAAGGAAGATCCAATTTTGTGCATAGTTAAAGGTAATAAAACTGAGACATACCTCTCCTGTTGCCAGAGCAATAAAATTTTCCACAGTCTTGGGCACAACTTTTCCAAAGAGGCCAATCACAATTCTGCCAACATCTTTGTCTCCAATCCTCACATCAAAGAAGACCTGTGTGTGGTTGAAAGGCAGAGCAGAAGTTTACAATGTAGAAAAGCCACAAACACAAGGTAAGTGAAAATTAAAATCTGAGAATTGATCCATAAACAAAAGCCCTGCCCACCAGTATTTTATAAAGGAGTCATGAAGAAGCATGATATAAATTAAAGGAGCTCTGAAACTATTTTGTGGGTGCATTTCACTTGCAAATATTCACTCAACACACATTTATTAAGCACCATCGATGGGCCAGGCACTGTGCTAGGTCCTGGGTTTAAAGTCTGACTCAATGCTGTCAGAGTCAGCCAGCAAAATCTTCAAGAATTCTACTCCCCCACGGACCCCAGACAGACACTGCTGTCACTTCCTCGCTTCCCAGCTTTGTAGATGAAGCTTAGAGTGGAAACTGTTGCTCTTCTGAAATGTAATGCTCTCTAATCTTGGCAGGAGAAAAAACTGGTGAGGACAGAAATAGGCTAACCATCCAGATTTATTTTTTTGTAACTCGAACAGTGCCAAATTCCCAATGAGTTTGCAATAGACGTCTGCTGTCAAGGGGACCGCAGCAGACGATCAAAACACACAGTGGTCCTCCAGAAGGCCTGCCACTCACTCTCAAGCACAGGATGCCCCCAGGTCCCCAGCCTCGTCCAAAGTACAGCGAACGTTACACTCGGGTCCTGACAAAGCCATTTACCCTGTAAACTTAGACACTGAATTCAGTCGTCATGTTCACAAAGTTACACAAGTAGAATGTGTTCTTTCTCTGTCAGAACATTTTAGAACAGAAGAAAGAAAACACATATCCAGAAGTGAGCGAGTCACCTTTTTGCAAATAAACCTTAAAAGTTCTCTCACACTCTTTTTTTAACTGTTTCATCTGAAACAAAATTATATACATTTTGCTTCACAAATCATTGTGTGAAGATGATTCTGAGACAGAACACTTGAAAAGGCCACAGAGTCAAAGAGCATTCTATTAGCCAGTTTAGATTATATGAACCAATTTACTGTTTGAATGTGTAAAAAAAGACATTCAAGAGATGGCTTTAAAAAATATAAGAAGGGTTGTCAAAGAAAAAAGATGTCTCACAGTTTAGAAAAATCATGAAGTAAAGACTGTCAAGCTTTAGTTCAAGACAAGAGCTTCTGCCAAGACATCAGTACGTCTGTCACGGGCTGATGTGATATTTAGTGTTCTATGTGGCATTTTACAATTTTTACATGGCCAAAGCAGCAAAAATTGTATTATTATTTGCACAGTAGAACTTTATAGAATGCATAAAAGACTGTGCCCTTGAGATGGGCAATGCAGTAAAGGAGAACAATTCAACGTGGCTCGGGGACGGGAAGCTGTGTTAAAATGCACACGAGACTGGCTGTGCAGAGCTAGTGTGAAAGAGAAGCAGTTTCTCCAAAAAGATTTCCAAGCCAAGGAGTAAATTCAATAATGGGCAATAATGAAGCAGCACCAGGAAAAGAATCAGGGACGTAATCTTAAAGAAACTCTGTATAAGATGCTAGAAAAGCCACCAGACTTTTAAAATAAGAGAAAAATATAGAGAGCAAAGAGAATAAAATGTGGGAGAGCAGCAAGAGAAGATGAAGAAAACGTGCCTGTCACCCAGCATAACTCTTCAATAAAAATCTTATTTTCTTACATGCGGCCTAGCACACATTAACATTTTTTTCCAAACTGCAGCATGCTTCAACTTCATGAATGATGGCCAGAAAATATAGCAGAGTTTTCCTAACTCTAATGGAAATGATAAAATCAAATCTCATTTAGTCAACAAGTATTTATCAAAGATCTATGTAAAAGGCAATGTGGGGGCACAAGCTACACGAAGAGTCCCTGTCCTAAGGTGGCTTACATGAACAGACAGGACAAGTAAAGGAATAACCACAGTACAGGGCAGCATGTGACAAGTGCCCCAAGAACACTGTGTACCCAGGCCTGGAGGAATGATGAGGGCTACGGGAAGGTGTCCTGGAGAAGGTGTGATGGGATGCAGGCCGAGAAGGAGGGGAGCAGCCTCCAGGCACAAGAATGGGCACGAGCCCCGCCTGGCAGAGTTCTTTCTGGAACCCAAGCACCAAGGCAGGAAATGTGGTGTGTGTGCAGAGAAGCAATGCAGCCCCTCTGACCACAAGGAGCTAAGAAGGGACTCTCACCAGTTCCAGGAGGCTGAGGAAGGATGCCAGCTAAGAGATCTGGGTTTTGTTAGGCACCAGAGGGAAGGGAAAGAACAGGACCCAAGGAAGACTTTGGGAATATTACTCAACTGGGAGGAGAATCTGGCCTCTTAGAGCAGTTCAGGAATGAGGTGATATGGCCTGCACTGGGAATGCAGGGATAGGGTAGAGGGGAGAGACATTTAAATGAAGGGGAGAGACAAGAGGAGTAGGAAGGAGGGAAGGAAACAAACATGACCTCGTCAGTGGTTTGTCTCATTGCACTTTGCCTACATATCTTATATAATTAATCCTCCCTGCATCCTTGGGGGCTGGGGAAGGTACTATTATCACCAATTTACAAATAAGAAAATTGAGGATTAGGGAGGTTAAATGATGTACCAAGGTTTCCCAACCCAGAGTGTGCAAGCCAAAATTTCCATCCAAGGCTGTGCCCAATTGGACTGTGATTCATCATTGATATGGTTCTCTCGGTCTAATCAGGGACCCCTAAGGAGTAGAAACAGTGCTTTTAGATCCTGAGTGCCAGGCACAGTGTCAGCTCAAGGAGGTACTCAAAAATGCTAAAGAGTTCAATGCCAGGTGATACTAAACAAGGACCAGGGCACGCACACACCTAGACAGAGGGTAAAAGTGGGCCCACGGGGGCTGCCAGGCAAACCCTCTCACTCTACACTCCCTCACCCTGAGATCCTCTCTGACTTTGCTGTGTGCCCTTGTGAACAGGCCCTGTGCTGGACAGGGGGTGGGGCTGCAAAGCCCCTATCTTCATGGAGCGTACAGTCCCACAGAAGAGAAAACACACAAGTAGCTATAATATAATGGGAAGTCAGGTTTTACAAGAAGACAAGCACAGATAAAATGTCATTGTTAGAGGGGATGATCATCTTTGGGGATCGGGGCGGGCTTCCTGGAAAAGGTGGTACTTGGACTCCATGCTGCCCTTCAGGAGTGGGCAGCTCAGTCACTTCTTTTTTCCCTCAAGGCTGCCCTTGAAAGTCACTTGAAAATTATGGGGCACTGGAGGCAGGGAGAAGTGGGGGAGGAGGCAAGAGGCACTCACATAGCCTGACCCAAACCCTTTTGGTTAATCCTGCTTCCATTTCCAAAACAACTACAGAAGACAGCAAGTCCATGAGCTCTGATGTCAAGGGAACTGTTCTCCAGCAGGCTCCACCGCTAGCTGGCCATGGGGCCTTGTGCAAGTTAGTTAACTCTGAGCTCCCGTTCCGCACCTGTATGACAGGTGATGATTCCTTTCAGGGCTGCACTGGCACCGGAGGATTAATAACACAACACTAACAAGTGACCTCTGAAGTCAGGGCTAAGCACTTTATTTGCTTTATCACATCTAATATGCAAAACTCTCCCAGGTAGGTATCATTTCTATCTCCATTTACAGAGGAGGAAACAGAGCACCAGACTTAGATAACTTGCCCAAGGTCACCCTGCCATAGCCTCTTGGCCACTCCATGCTGTAGAAAGTGCCAGCAAGCTGTGACGTGAGTGCAGCTGGAAAGATGGAAGCATTAATTTCAATACTCTGGGTGCCTGACTTTGCACAGAACCCATGGCATCTGCTGGAAAATGCAGGGCTGCAAATGCCAATCTGGTGGACTTGGAGACCTGTGAACTAGAGCCCTGAAGCTGAGGCAGTGGCTGGCAGCAGGATTCACCACACACTGAGTGCCATTAAACGGCCCTGTGTGGGGACAGCACCTCACACCTCTCTTATTTACAGATTGCTATTTTTAATTGAAATCAGAGAAAAAGGAAAAGACTGCTGGGTAAAACAATACACTAGAGCAACGGCCAATTAATCTACTTTTCCGCACTTAGAGAAATACTTTTTAATGTCTCTATTTTCCAATACATTTAGTTGTTTTAAAAAGTCCACTGAAAAAGTAATTCAACAGAGTTGAGTCTGTGGAAGACTTGCCTACACAATTAGCTTTTAGAATTTAATGATAAATTTGGTGGGGGAAAAAAGGAGATACATTAAGTGACAATTCCGAGAGCAGACACATGAAAACTCCCTCAGTGACAGCACCCTAGACTAGGGCTAAGATGCTCCCACTCTTCCCCTCCTACAGCCACCAGCTTCCTCCCCTCTTGGCTCCCTCTTCTAGAGGTTCCCAACCCAGGCGGCACACCCCAGAGATTGTGACTGACTTGCTCTGGGGTGGGTCTCTGCACAGAGAGGTTTAAAAGCTTCCCAGGTGAAGCTTGTGCCCAAATATTGCAGGTCATGTACTCACACTGGGAAATCTAACTGGGCTTCCTGTATTTTATCCTGCAATCCTACTCCCTTTCCCCCACCCGCATCTAAACCGTCAGCAAGTTCTGTTAGTTATACTTCAAAAACCTCTTTCAAGTCCCTCCCTTGCTCCCCATTTCTGCCATTACCACCCTAATCCAAGCCACCATCATCTGGACTCTGACATGGAGCCCTGGATGACCTCCCTGTTCACTCTCCACTGAGCAACCACAGTAATTGTTTAAAAGCATATATGAGATCATGCCATCCCATGCTTAAAACCCTTCCTCCGCTCTCACTGCACCTAAGTAAGACCTCAAATTATAAGAATAATTGCCTCAAACCCAGAGTCATAACTGTGGCCTCTAAGGTCCTGCATGATCTTGCTACTGCTCAGCCCTCCAACCTCATCTCAAGCCACTCTCCTCTCATCCCTGGGCTGAAGCCACACTGTCACCTTTCTCCATCCTTTGCACAAACGGATGGCTTTTCTGTCTGCAGGCCTTTGCACATGCAGTTCCCTTTGCCTTCTAAGTCTTTGCCAGGCTATTTGTGCTTATCCTTCAGGTATTTTTAAATGTCACCCAACCTGTATTAGGGTTTATTTCCTTCATCATTTCATAATTTTATAAATTTTATGTTTACGGCTATATCCCAAGAGACCCAAATAGTATTAGCGGACTGAAAGAACCCCCCTCCCCAACCCCTTCAGCTCTGTGGCCTTATACAAGGCATTTCCCAAAACTGGATAGGACCCAAAAGATTAAGGGCTGGGAGTAGAATCAGTGCTTAAAACAATCAGGCTAAGTTTATCTCACACTCACCCCCCCCCCCCTCCCCCCCCACAGCATGGCATGGCCTTTTGGCTCACTCTTAGGCTACATCAGACGTTGGGCTGAACCTCCTCGACCCCCTCGTCCTCCCACTCCTCGGCGGGGTCTGTGGTGGAGGATTTGAACATTCTACTAGTTCAGCAGTATCATTTCCACTGGCAAACACCCGACTGCTTGTTAAGACCACTTGCAGCTGCCCCTCCTTCCAGATTCCAAGACGCATAGTGCCTGTGGGTTTTTCTAGAAGTGGTGATCAAGGCACCACCAAATCACTCCCTCTCTTCCTACCTCCCTCCTCCTCCTCTCCCTGCACCCTCCCATTATCTTCTAACCTTGGGTAAATATGCTGAAAAAAGAACCGAAGCTGTAAAGACACAGTTCATGGCAGATTTTTTTCCTCCCCTAATCGAGATGAAAAGGCTGGCCTCAGTCACACAGGTGACACTCGTGCCACGCTAGCACCTTCCCAAGCCCAGGGTCTACCCACCAGCCGCGGAAGTCTAAAAGCGCCCCTCTCGCTGCCGGGGGAGGACGACGGTTGCTAAACAGAGCAGGCGGCGGCCAGCCTCCCGTTTGGGCCAGGCGGGGAACGCCGGCCCGGGCACCCCGCGGCAGGGGCTGCACCTGGGCTCTTCCAGGCCGGGTGACAGCCGCGGCGGGCCGGCCGGCTGCAAACCCTCGGCTCGGAGCGCGTCTCCTCCGCCCGTCCCCGTCCCTCCCACATTCTTCCTGCTTCTGTTCCCAAGTCCCCGCCACGCCGAAGGAAGTACTCGGCCTGTCTCCTTCCTGGAGAAACGACCCACCGGTTCCGGAAGCTTCTCCCAGCCCCCGGGCTGGACACGTCGGACCACCGACCCGGGAGGCTAAGTTCAAACAGTCGGCGCCGGGGGCGGGCTGGGACTCGGCCCAGCGCCCCCAATGCCTCCCACGAGAGCGCGCCCCCCGCGCGCGGGCGACCCCCTCCCACCTAGCCCCCCGCCGCCTCCCGTCTTCTGCGCCAGGGAAGCCAGCCCCCTCCTCGCCGCCCCTGACGCTGAGGTCCCAGTCCCCCAAGCTCCCCAATCCCCGTGGCCGGCACGAGGGGAAGTTGCTGCTCGCCGCTCGGTCACCTTGGCTGTCACCGAGGGGCCTCGCTTGCGAACTCCCGAGGCCCCCGAAGAAGACACGAGCGCGCCGAGCCCCATGCAGAGCATGAGAGGTAGCAGCAGCCGGGGACCCGGGTCCATGGTGAGCGGTGGCAGTGGTGGCAGCGGCTCGGGCGCGACCGCAGGCGCCAGGACTGTTGGCGGGACTCCCGGCCAGCTGCGCCTGCGCGCTCCCGGTGGCGGGGGATGGGGATGCGGATGGGGATGGGCGGCCGGGGCAGAGCCGGAACCCAGGGTGCGCTCCTCCCAAGTTCAGCCCAGCGACCCGAACTAGGGACTCGGAGAGGCGCGCCGCAGAGGGCGTAGCCGGGTCCGGCCGCCGCGCCTGCGGCGGGTGCGCTGGGCGCCAGGGCCCGGAGCGAGCCCGCGCGGCGGGGGCGCGGCGCCCCGGAGAGGCGCGGACACGGGGCGCGGCAGGCTCGGCCCGGAGCCCGAGAACTGAGGGTGCGCGGGGACATCTCCAGGAACCTACCGCGTAGGCGCCTGTTAAACCTCACGGAAAGTCGAGGACGCTCCGGAGCCGCCTGGCAACTTGCGCCCCGCCGGGCTGGGGACTCTGCCGACGGTCCGGGTCTGTAACCGCAGCTGCCCTTGGAGTAGCCTCCGCCGCGCCTGCCAGGTTCCAATGTTCCGTCAGAGACTTTAGCTAAGTTTTGGACGCCTCTCGGAACTTTGGGACCGACTCCTGAATGGGTTGACTCGATTACACATGATGAATGACCTCTCATTGAGATGATTCAAGTTGGAGATATAATTTTTACAAATTTAATAATTGTTTGGGAAGATTATTTAATGACATGGGGAAGGGCTCATTATATTTTTAAGTGGAAAACTCAGGTTGCAAAATCCCCTAGAAATTCTGATCTCAACTGTGAAAATAAATATATAAAGACATTTTAAAAATGGAAAGAAATGCACCAAAACATTTACAGTAGCTATGGTGATAGAATTATGGAATTTTGTTTTCTTTGTAATTTTCTGATTTCCCAGATGTTCTCCATTGAACTTGTAAGTATTTTATAATCAGGAAAACGTTATTCTAAAACTCAATGCTTTTTGAATTAAGACTTCAAACGAACTTTTTCATTTTAAAGTAATAGCTCCAAATTCACTATAAATTGATAATAGTATTCTCTTGGTTTTCTTAGGGGCTGGTGCCGTGACTTGCAAGCCAAGATTTCCCTTGGGTAAGCAGATAGGATTCCTATGTGTAACTAAGTGGAGATCTAAAATTACATTGGAAGTGTTCATTGTATGTAAAAGGAGTAACCGCTGCTTTTGAGGGGTGGGCAGAACGCTTCTGAACTACTTTGACAATTCAGTCCAGGGAAGAAGGATTTAAAGGCTTTCCTCATCACCCCCACCTCCAATAAAGAAAGAGGCCCCCTTTTGTAGCCAGCTAAGGGTATCAGAGCACTTATCTCACTGAGTAACTACATATATTTACCTGTATTCATTACTGTAATTGTTTTTGTCTGTCTTTGCTATCAGTGAAGTGCCACCAGAGCAGAGCCTGTATTTATTCCTTTTGATGACCTAGATCTACTACCATGCCTGGCACATACTGATTTCTCAATAAATATTTGTTCAATGAAAGAACAATGAATGTGTCTGTCCAACTTCTTTTTAAAAATCTTTTTCTTGGGAAGATTGATACAAATAAAGAAAAGTGCACAAAAGGTAAATGTACAGATCAACGAATTATCACAAAGCAAACATAACTAGGACCCACCCCCCCAAAGAAATGAAATGTTCGCCAGCTCTCTAGAAACTCCTCTTGTACCCACTCCCGATTACTAACACTTTCTTCTCCCCAAATTAACCACAATCCTGACTTCTTACATTATGATTTAGTTTTGTTTAAACTTTATATGAATGGAATCTTATAGCATGTTTTCTTTTGCTTGAATTTATATTTGTGAAATTCATCCATGTTTTTGCCTATAGCTCTTTTGGTGCATAGCACAAGATAGGGGTCAAATTCAGTTTCTTTTTCAATATGAATATCCACTTGTCCCAGCACAATCTATTGAAAAGTCTCTCCTTTACTCACTGCTCTGTAATGCTACTTCTGTCATGGAACAAGTGTCCATACATGCATGGGTCTGTTTGTGGGCCCTCTCTTCTGTCCCATTGGCATATATGTTTATTTTTGTGCCAATATCACATTGTCTTAATGAAAATAGCTTTATGATAAGTCTTCATATTTAGTAGTACAAGTCCTCTCACTTTGTTCAATGGATTCTTGGCTGTTCTTGACCTTTTCCATGTCTATCTAAACTTGAGAATCAGTTTTCATAAACTGGATTTTGATTGGGATTGCATGGCATCTATAGATCATTTTGGAAGAACGTGGCATATTTGTAATATTGAGTTTTCCAATTCATGAACATGGCATATTCCTCCATTTATTAGGTCTTCTTTAATTTCTCTCAGTAAAATTTTGTAGTTGTCTGCCTAGAGATCTTAACATATTTTGTTAGATTGATTTCAAGGTGTTTGTTTTTTATATGCTATTGTAAATTCTATCTTTTTAAATATTTATTTTCCTATTTGTTGCTATTATATTGTAAATGTAATTTTGTGTATTAATCTTGAATAGATCAACTTTGTTGAACTTATTAATTCTAATAATTTATCTGGGAATTATTTAGGATTTTCTATGTAGACAACTATCTCATCCATGAATAATGACAGTTTTATTTCTTCCTTTCTAATCTTTATACCTTTCATTTCTTTTTCTTGCCTTATTGCGCTGGCTAGGACCCTCAGTACAAAAGGAAGTGGCAATAGTGGGAGTTCTTATTTTGTGGGTTAAATTGTGTCCTCCCAAAAGATATGTTAAAGTCCTAAACCCCAGTATCTGTCAATGTGACCTTATTTGGAAATAGGGTCTTTGCAGATGTAATAAGTTAAGATAAGGTCATACTGGAGGAGAGTGTGCCCTACTGCAATATAACTGGTGTCCTTATAAAAAGAAGAGAGACAAAGACATACACAGAGGAAAATACCATACGAAGACAGAGACAGAGATGAAAGTGATGCATCTATAAGCCAAGGGATACCAAAGATTGCTGGCAACCAGCAGAATCTAGGAAGAGGCAACGAAGGACCCTCCCCTAAAGCCTTCAGAGAGAACATGGCCCTGCTAACACCTTGATTTCAGACTTCTAGCCTCCAGAACTGTGAGACAACAAGTTTCTGTTGTTTTAAGCCACACAGCTTGTGGTACTTTGTTACCGCAGCCTTAGAAAACCAATAAACTTGCTTGGTCCCAATCCCAGAGGAAAAGCTTTCACTATTTCACCATTAAGAATGATATTTGCTGAAGGTTCTTTTGGGAAGGGATATCCTTTTTCAGCTTGAGAAAATTTCTTTCTAGTCCTAGTTTGTTTTTATCATGAATTTGATACACATAATCTATTGAAATTAGCTGAAATAATCAGATGATTTTTTTCCCTTACTCTGTTAATGTGGTAAATTGCATTGATTTGCAAATCTTAACACAACCTTGCATTCTGGAATATGCCCAACATGTAATACATGGCCTTTTAATATATTATTGCATATGGTTTGCTCATTTTCTTTTTTAACAAACTTACAAAAAAACAAAAAAAGGTGTTTCTTTTGATGTTCAAGGAAAAACAGTAGGTAAAGTGTGGCTTTGGCTTTCCAGTTCAGACCAAGCTGATTGTCAAAATCCCATTTTGATGTTAGTGGGTTAGTTTGCTAATCTTATGTTCAGGATATTTGCATCTATATTCAGAAGTCAGACTAGCCTGAAATTTTCCTTTCTTGGAATTTCCTGTAACTTTTTATATCAGGGTTATTATGGTCCTTTAACATGAGTTGGCAAATGGTAAATGTCTTTCCTATGTTCTAAAAGAGTTTGTGTAAGATTGCCATCATTTCTTCCTTGAATGTTTGTTAGAAGCCATGTGGGCTTGTAAAGTTTTAAATTGTAAATTTAATTTTTTAAATAGTAGAAGGATCATTCAAATTTTCTATTCTTTTGTCAATTTTTACATGTAGTATTTTTTGAAGAATTTATCCATTTCATTTGTATTTTAAGATTTACTTACATAAAGTTGCATAATATATCTTTTTATAATTTTTTAGGGCTGGAGGACCTGTAGTAAGGTCTTCTTTTTCATTCCTGTTATTGGTTCTTTTTTCTTTTTCCCTGAATGGTTTCACCAAGGAAGGGGGTGAATATAATGCATTTGATTTTATTTCATTACTTTATGTTCTTAATTTTGTTTTCTTTCTTCTACTTTCTTTGAGTTTAATTTACTGTTATTTTTCTATCTCCTCAAGATAGACTCTTAATTCATTGATTTTTTCCCCTTTCTTCTTTTATATTGCTCTATGTGAAATTAAAGTAATAGAATTCCCCCTGACAAGCAAAGCTTTTGATGCTTCCCACAAATTTTGATATGTAGTTGTTTCATCAGCATTCAGCTAAAAATATTTTCTAATTTACACTTTTTTTTCTTTTTCGGTCCATGTGATATTTAGAAGTATAGTATTTTATGTCCAAAATGTGACTTTCTAAAATCTTCTTGTTAGTGATTTTTAGCTTAGTTGTATTGTAAGCAGAGAACATACTGTGTAATATCTCATTCTTTTAAAATATGTAGAGACTTGCTTTATGGCATAGAATCTGATCAATTTTTTTGAAGCTGTTTCCTGTGTATTCTGCCCTTATTGGATTCAGTATTCTTCATATGTCCATTAGATCAAGTTTGTCAATCCTGCATTTCATATGTCTGTCCTTACTGACTCTTTATCAGCTTATTATAAGAGTTACTGAGAGAAGCATGTTAAAATCTCTTGTTTTGACTGTAGATTGTCTATTACTCCTTGTAGGTCTGTAAATTTTTCCCTCATATATTTTTCTTTATATATGAGGCAACCTTACTGAGTGCAAACAAATCTAATATTATCTTTTGATGAATTGAATTTTTTTGTCATTATGAAGTGTCCTTCTTTATTTCTAGTAATGCTTTTTGCCTTAAAGTCTGATATTACTATAACTCACCATCTTTCTTTGGGTTACTGAATGCATGGTTTATCTTTTTCTGTGATTCTACTTTCAATCTTTCTGTCTTTATGTTTTAATATATCTCTTTAAATAGGATAAATTGATTTGTTAATAAAGTTTTATC